TACCAACAATGCATGAGGGTACGTTTCTCCACATCCTCAGCAACACTCGTCTTTTGTTTTTTGATAACGGCATCCTAACAGGAGCAAGTGGATATCTCATAGTCATTCCTACCCTTTATTTTAAATGAAGCATAATCCTGCCAGTTGTGGGTTTTGTCTCTGCATAGGTTAAATGTAACTACTGAGAAACATTCAGGTTAAGAAGGTGTGTGACCCTATTATGTGCATCAGATTTTGAGCTCAGGGCTATAAATACAAATGTCAGCCCCATGTGGCTCCTGTTCCCTGTTCAGCTGAGAAGCCGGTCTTAAAGCAAATAACTCAACCACAAGTTCAAGAAAATGCAAGAACATAGGCATGAACATAGGGTCTGAATGGAGCAGTTGGCCCTGTGAGTTTGGGAATGAGGGAGCATTAAACCAGGCAAGGACCAGGAAGGCAAAATAAGAGCTCATATTTACCGAGTCCTCACCGAGCAAGAGGCTCAAGAATAATGCCCAGGTCCCAAAGAGCAGAACATATTGCTCAGGTATGAGAGATGGCTTAGGGCTCATGTTTGCCCTGACAGCCTCCTAGGTGGGCTGGATACTCTCTGGCACTGCCTCTTTTGTGGTCTGGTCTCTGAGGGGTGAACATCTTTGCTGGAGAGAAGATGAAGACTCTTATCTGCTTTTCCTCTACCCTTGGACCCCAGTACAGTCCAGAACTCCCAGTTCAACCAGCCAAGGTTCCCTCCAGCCTCTTCCTTTCCTCAGCTCCTTTACTATCAGGGATTCAGCATTTACTCCTTTCCTCCTTAACCCTGCCCTTCCTTTTGGTTCCTTCAGCTCCTCCAGCAGAGTCCTAAATGCCTTTGTAGGCTGAAGCCACATTCCACTACCCAGGGCTCCCTCCTCTGTCCTTTGTCCCAGCTTTCCCATCAGTCTCAGAACTGCTATCGCCAATTTCCTTAGCTTCTCACTCCTATCCCTGCCCAGACTTTTCCTCTCAGAGGGAGCCCCTTCTTGAAAGATACTCCAAGTCCATCAGGTACCTCACTCATCCTGGTTACCTTCCTGCTTGCCATTGTCCCCAGGGGCCTCGATGTCCAACTCTTGACATCCTTCTGCTGCCCTCAAGAATGGGGAGCTGTGCCTCTTCCTACTATTCCTGTGTGTGTGTGTGTGTGTGTGCGTGTTTTAAATATATATATATATATATATATATATATTTAGTTGTAGTTGGACACAATATCTTTAATCAATTAATTTATTTTTATGTGGTGCTGAAGATGGAACCCAGCACCTTACACATGCTAGGAGAGTGTACTCTCCCTGAGTCACAACACCAGCCCCTATTCCTGTGTTTTTAAAATTCATTCTTATTTTGTTTCTTTGAAAAATTATTAATATAGAAAAAAATGACTGATTTAGAAAATAATGAATAAATGAAAGTACAGGTAGTAAGAGGGAGCTTGCAACAATCATTTCAGTGGCACTCCAGCTTTAGGAAGCCCTGTGGCTTCTCACTCAACCTACAGCAGCCCCGTGCTGTTGGGGTATATATTGTCATTATCCTTGTTGTGTGTGGTGGCCCCTTCTAGGTCTATCATGCACCTGGTTTTATGATGCAGTTACAATATCATGTGCCATAGTTTAAGAAACTGGGTTTAACACAGTAGGACTGCAAAAGAGAAGGCAACCGTCCCTTCCATTCTCCTAACTCATTTTGGGTGTAACCTCTCTCTTCCCCTTGAGAAGGCCAAGTTGAAGGAGGGCCCTCTCAAGCTGGCTTGTCATCTAGCCAACCCACAGTAAGATCCAGGTGGTCTTTGGAAACTGTGCTTACTGAACCAGGATCAGAAAGATTAAGTGCCTGACCAAAGACACACACCCATTCCAGGGCCAAAATTCAAAACCTTTACTATTTTGCACTTTAAAGAAAGAAGATTTTATGAGGCAATAGGAGAGGGAAACCTTTGCTCTCTGTTCTCTAGACCTCACGTTCCATCTCTGGGTGGTAAGGGGGTGTTCTGTGGGGAGCCAGCCAACTCCACAGCATTTTGACCCTTTCCCCCTTCAGTGCACTGGCTGCCTCCTTCCCTGGGCTATTTCATCTTGTTGGAAGCTGTAAGAGCCACTGCCAACCATGTCCTTTGCTGATCATAAAGATAACTTGGCAGGAACCTGATCATTCTTAACCTCCATGCCAGGAAATTATTCCCTGAATTAAAGATGACTTCCACATTTTACAGTTTAAAATGCTCTGTAACAGAGAGGTTGCTATAGAAAAATTTGAGATCTCTTATATAAAGGTCAAGAAGAAAATAGGAGCTGTTTCCTTTAATTCTTACTATACAATTTTTAAGAAACGCTTTAATATTCCATTCAACTCTTTCTTCCCTTTCTCTCTGGCTGGTTCTAAAAAATCAGTGCAGCACCATAAATATGCAGAACGTGGAAAGCTGATTTTTCCTATATCTAATAAAAACCTTGGGGAGTAATTGAAATAACTTGGCGTGGGTAGTCAGGTTACGTGCTGCATAATATCAAAAGAAAATCCAGAGCAAGGAAAAGCAACAGAAAATAGGAAGAGGGGCTGGGGAATGAAACCAGGGCATCAAATAATGAGTAACTACGAGAATCTAAAAAAAAAAAATAAATAAAAAGAATCCTTTTAGAATTACATTCTTAGAAAAAAAAGTCAAGAAGCATCTTCAAAGAAGTAATACTAGACAAGGTGCACATTTTTATACATTTCTTAAGGTTGCAAATTCAAAGAAAAGGAAAGAAATATCCCTTCCTCCCCTGTATCTATTCATTAGATGAAGTCTGGCAGAACACACAGGTATCCATCACATTTTTGACATGTTTTCACCATGAGATCCTCCTCCCATTTCCCTTTTCTCTCCCTGTATCATCCAGTAGAATTTTAAAGGAATGTTGTCAGTTATGACAGGTCACACAAGGAGAACCCTCCACTCTCAATTGTCCAGGGAACCTTTTGGAGTACCTTATTGTGGTCTTTATGATTTTATAAAAGGGTACTGTATTCATTATGTGTAGGAAAGTGACGTTGACATGTCTGGGTCTCAGCAAAGAGAAATGTGGGCATGGAAGCCGCGTGGAGAGAGAACAACCTCTAGTTTGCATTTCTCATAGAATCTTCTGTCTCAGTATTCTACACTACCCAGCTTGTTACCCTGCGAAAGTCCATTACTATTTCCAGACTCAATTTATTTTCTAGAAGTTTAAACAGGTTATTGCTACAAATAAATGAAACCTTTTGGAAACAGAAAAGTCGGGAGGGGGTAGTAATCACCTATATTTATCAAACATAATGGATGATATTGGTATATTTTCTACCAATCTTTCTTCTTAGATATAGCTGTTTTTTATGTGGTAGAAATTGAAGTATAATATCCAGTTTTATATTTTGGCAAAGTTTTATTCTTCTAAATAAAAAAAATAGACTGTTAGCCATCATTTCTAGAGTTGCGTAATATTCCACACAGATGAGCTTTTACTTCTTTGTTTTTTAGTCTGCATTGAAAGACAGTGTTTGACAGCATTGAGGCTTTTGAATTTCTTACTAAAGGAAAAGAGAAAGTACTGCTGCCGGGGCTCATACCTGTAATGATTCACAGCTAGGATCGATGGTACTGCCCAGAAATGATCGGCTAGAGAGGTTAAGGTCGACTTCTTTTTAAAGATCATCTCAGGTCATAGACTAATGGTTGATTATCTTTGTTGGTGTCTGAGTCGAGTTAGACAACCAGGGTAGAAGATCCAGTCCTGTAACTTACTATCTCTGTGACCTGGCACAAGATTCTCCGCCTATCTGTGTCTCCATTTCCTCAGAGGCAACAGTGTGAATAGCCTTATAATTCCTCCATTCTTAGAAATAAATTTTAACACACTCAATCATTGGGTTGAGTTCTGCAATCAATGTGAACATTGCAATTTTTCCTTCCCTTTTCCCTGGCTCAACACTCCCCAGTAGTCTAACAATCAATGGTGTCTTAGCACTGAGGAAATATAATACTACTTGTCTGACTGTGTTTGCAATGGAAAGGATTAACTGAATTATACATAAAATGTTCTCAGCACTTGGTAGGGGCTCAGTAAATGGCAGCTACTATTTATTAGTTTTTTTAAAAAATCTGTTATTCTTAGAATGGTAGAACACTTATTTGGAGGAGAATATTTATTTTAGGAAATACATTAGTTGTAGGCAGCGTATTTAGTTAAAACTCATGTGGCTTGGAAAATTCCTCCACATCTTAAGTTAATTAGAGATGGCACAGGGATGGCAAATAGGTTTAATTTCATGTGCCAACTCTAATCTGTTGATGATGATTGTCAGACATGCTGCGTTGTGAGACCTGCTTAGGCAGACTCTGGGTGTAGCAGGCCCAAGTGCCAAGGTTGATTAGTAGTGTGTTCCCCAGGCTTAGCAAGATCGAGTAGCACTGCACACACTGTTTGCCATATCTGTATTCTGGTGTCACAAAACATTACATGGCAATTCATTAGCATTAGCCAGGCTCTAGTTTGTCAAACAGGAGTTTCATCAAGTTCTTGTAGCAATAGACCACCTCTAGGTCCAAGGTGAGAGGTGGAAACCTACAACAGTAAAACTTAAAATTCCTACCTTGGCAGAGACCTGGGGGACTTGCACCATTTTGAAAGTAGAGCTTTTGCAATGACCTTGACTTTGCTCAGCCTTTGTCTTGCTAATGCTTATTTAGGTCTTGCCAGCTGAGCTTGGAATACTCTATACCTTGGCCTTTGTAGAACTTTGCTGTTAAATTGACTGAACTGCCTTCTTGACTGCATCTTGTGCTTGTCCTCCTTTGCTGTAGATAGATGGCTGTTAGCCCAGAGAACTTTGCTCAGAAAGGGCAATAGAGTTGGAAGGGAGACTGTTCATTTTATCCTTATCTAATTCTTTGTGGTACCTACAAAGTAAAACCAATGATTATAGCACTTTGTTGAAGGCTTACGTGGAAAGTTACATACCATTTCTTGAAATATTCTGGTAGTCCCTGTGGTTACAGTGGTTTCTTCTCCGTAAACGAAGGTAAATAGATTTTTCTTCAATTCTGAAACAAATATATGTATTTATGTACTTACTGTCAGGACATTTAATGGTGAAGTTCAAAGAAACTTATTATTATTGTTTTTTGGTATCTGGGATTGAACTCAAGGGCACTCAACCACTGAGCCACATCCCCAGCCCTATTTTGTATTTTATGAGAGACGGGGTTTCACTGAGTTCCTTAGAGCCTCACCATTGCTGAAGCTGGCTTTGAACTGGTGATCTTCCTGCCTCCACCTCTGGAGCTGCTGGAATTACAGGCATGTGCCACTGTGCCCAGCAAAGAAACCTATTTTTGACATGATTTTTAAAAATATGGTGAAAATGAACTCAGAAGATCGAAATTTCACTGATTTTTTTTTCTAAACTGCAAATATCTTATTGGGAGTTATGAGAAGCAATTCAATGAAATGAGTGCCATTGATATGGTAAGAGTGCTGCTAGAGATATCAAACTTCTTTTGTATGAACCTTTGGAATAATCCCTTTCTAATCTTTTTACCAACAAGTGCAATAATTTTTTCGAGGAATAATTCATCTTTATGAATTATTTTGTTTTGAACCTGACCATATTTTCTTTCTTCCTCTGGTTGCTCTGAAGCTATGGCAAATTCCTGTGTCCAGATCCATTCTCCCCTTTGTGCATTGCAATAGAGGCAGGACCCACATTAGCTCAGAGTGATGACTGCATTCCCCAGCTTCCCTTGCAGATAGGAGCAGCCATGTCACCAAATTCTGAATGATGCAATGGAATTAGAAATATCCAGTGGCAGTTTCTGGAACATTTCTTAGAACACAATTGGAAGGTAACTCTTGCTCTTTCTTTGACCTCTTTCTCCATCCTGGAATAAGAATGCTGCAATCTTGAACTATGGGGAAAAGGTCCACACTGGGAAAGTAGAGATCAGTGGAAAGAAGCCTGGATCCCTGGGGAGTCGGTGGAGTTAAGCTCCTATACTAGTTCTAGACTGCATATCTCTGTACTTTTCTGTGTAAGAAAAATAAATTCATGTACTATTTTATTTATACCACCCATCTGTTGAATCTGTTTTACTTATAGTTGAATCTAATATTAATGAGCACAGAGCTAGAGCCAAATTTGACGAGAGTATCAGGCTATAATTATACATATTTTAAGCAATTTTCTTGGCTTTCCTTTGCCTCATCTTTGATTTTCTAATTTCTTTTGCCAAGCTTTTAATTTAAATGTAATTTAATGTTATGTTGTCTATACTTTTATAGATTTCCTAAAATTCTTTTTGAAACAAGATCAAGTATAAACTAATGAATAATAATTCAACTTATAAATATTCCATTACTCTTCAAATATATCTTTTCTTCATTCTGATAAGCCCATATCTCACAACCTTATGTAAAATTACCCTCTATTTTATGTATTATGAAAATCTTAATAATTGTATTACAATGCTTGGCAACTGTCTCAAATACTTCAGAAAGGTAAGGATGTACCATGTTTGGGCATTTGGAATGCATTGGTAGTAGAATTCTTCTTGAAGTCTGAGAAAACTAATGATAACACTTCTTAGTAGGAGACTAAGATGTCTGAGCAATATTTTAAGTACAAAATTTTTGCTTTGTGATAGAATTTTGAAGTGAATGATACATTTTATTATTATCATTATCATTATTATCATCCAAGCTACCCATGCACAGAGCTTTAAAAATAAAGTTTAGGAGAATGTTTGTTGAGCATATTGTGTGGTCCAGGCACTGTTTATTGTAGACAATTGGGTTATATTGGCAAGTGAAAAAGACAAAGATTCCTGCCTCTGTGTTGTTGACATTCCAGTAGCAAAAGACACATCAAAAGCACTAAATATTATAAATAACTAAACTATATTCTAGAAAAAAAGTAAAAAAATAAAAAGTAATAAATTCTATTTTTAAAAAGGGGGAAAGGAGATTAGGATTAGAGTGGCCACAGGAAGTCTCATTGAAAGGTGAATTAGGATAAAGATGAGCCTCATAGAGCCAAACCATTTGAATGGTTAAAACTTGCAATAATAAACAGCAATATCATACTTTTGCCTCTTTCCCAATTCCCAGAGGCAACCAATTTTAACCTTAATTGGCTGAGTCTTTTGATATTGTGGGGGTGGGGGGGATTTTTCTTTTTATCTTTAAGTAACATACTTTAAAAACTAAATTTTGGGTCTTTTTAAATTCTTTTTGCATGATTTTTTTTTGTATTTATCATTAATTCATCCTCAAATCTTTTACAGTTGTTTGTAGTGCATATTCATCTCCTTTTGATATGCCCTGTATGTCAGATTGTTTATTAATTTTGTCATCTTGTGGAAATGTCTCCTACAGCCTGTCAGTTCGCTTTAGTTTGGGCTTGTTGTCTTCACCCTGGTGCACAGTGGGTAGCCTGAGAGCTCCCTTCTCTATCCTACTGGGTTGTTAGACATCTGATTTCCTGGAAGGCTATACTTTTCTTATTTTGGATGGAGAACACTTTTATATAACTCTGAGAGGTGGATGGAAAGTAGTTTCTTTCTTTTTTTTTTTTTTAGCACTTGTATATCTGGAAATGCTTTTATTCATTGACTTGCTTGCTGGTGAGGTGTAAGGTGGATCTGGAAACATAGCTTACACTGTAATATAAATGTTGGTAGGATTAATGGGACTTGGTGAGAAAAAAACTTGAAGTGAAGAAGTATCAGAGTTTACCTCTTCCCTGAACTCTCATCCTATCCAAAGGTGTCTTAGGACACAGATGAACTCGACACCTCTGAGACAAGAACCTCACTCTTTGGCACTCTACATATTATTCAGGAAAAAAGGGTTGAAGTATTTCTAAGTCACTCTGATGATGAAGTTGATGACAATGGTGATAATAACAACCATCACCACACAATAATAAATTTCCTATACAGGCCATTGCTTTGTGAAAATGGGGGTGCCTCATACATGATGGATCAGCTTTTTTTTAATATTTATTTTTTAGGTGTAGATGGACACAACACAATGCTTTTATTTTTAGGTGGTGCTGAGGATCAATTCCAGCCCCATGATGGATCAGCTTCTTGCCAAACTACCCCAAAGGTGAAGGAAATTAGCCTCCAGGACCATTAGAATTTGTAATTTGGCCATCTGACTTTATGTGGCAGCATGAAGATGGTCACATTAGCCTCAACACTTCTACCTTTGAATGTGGGCTGTGTTGGCTTCTTCAACTAATAGAGTGGCACTCTGCTGATTCTGGCTTTTAAAATTCCTGGCAACTTTTGCCTTGTGGAGCTCTGAACTGCCATATAAAAAGTCTGACTGCCCTGCTAGAGGGGCTATAAGAAGATCCCACCTTGGAAGCAACCAAGATGTCTTTTGGTAGGTGAACAGATAACAAACTATAGTGTATCCATACAGTGGGATACTCAGGGATCCAAAGAAATGAGTTGTCAAGCAATGAAAAGATGAAGAATAACTTTAAATACATATTTTAATTGAAAAAAGTCAACCTGAAAATACTGCATACTTTGTGATTCCAACTACAGATGCTCTTTGATGTACAATGAAAACATGTCCCAGCAAACCCATTTAAAGTTGAAAATATCGTAAGTCAAAAAATGCATTTAATATACTGAACCTACCAAGTATCACAGCTTAGCCACACAGCACATGATAGAGTATTGGTTGTTTTTTCTTGTGACTGTGTGGCTCATTGGGAGCCACAGCTCATTACTGCTGCTCACCTTCACAAAAGAGCATCAAATCACATATCACCAGCCTGGGAAAAGATCAAAATTCAAAGTGCATTTTTCTTTTAAATGCATATCACTTTGGTACCATTATAAAGTTGAAGAAATTCACAAGATGAACCATAGTAGGTCAGGGACTGTCTATTTATGACATTCTGGAAAATGCAAAATTATGGAGAAGGTAAAAAGATTAGTGGTTACCAGGAATTTGGGTGGGAGGAGGAAAAATGAATAGATGGAGCACAGTGGATTTTTTAAGGAAATGCTAATCTGAATCAGTATTGGCTCTTCATTTCTAACAAATGTACCACATTAATACAAGATGTTAATAATAGGGGAATTTAGGGAGAAGGCGCAGAGGTATGTGGAAACTCTTTGTACTTTCTGCTCAATTTTTCTATAAGCCTAAAAATGCTAAAAAAAAGTAAGGTCTTAACCTTTTAGTTGCCCCTTCCCAGGCACCAGTCATGTGAGGGAAGCCATCTTGGATCCCCCAGCTCATCCTGGCCATTAGGTGAATCCCAAGGAGAAACCATGGTCAATGTCATATGGACAGGAAGCACTGGCTAGCTGAGTTCTGCCTGAATTCCTGACCCTCAAAATTATGGGATATAATGAAAATGGTTATTGTTTTGAACCACTAAAATTCGTAATATTTTGTGACACAAAAGATATCCAGAACAGTTTGGTTGTAGAATTTGGTTGAGACAATTTTCCCAGAGAACTTTGAAGGAATGTATCTGTTAGTTTCTAGCTCCCCAGTGGTCAGTCTGAAGCCATTCTGTGTCTCAATGTTTTGCAAGCCTGTAGTAGCACTTTGTTCCAAGTGTTCTTGTTATGATTTAGATATAAAGTGTCCTCAAAAGCTCATGTATTAGATGATGCAATAAAGTTTAGAGGTGGATTCATGTAACATTTTTAAAAGAAAAATGTTTGGCAATGGAATAAGCAAAACATTCAACTTGTTTCTGGAACAACAACAAAAAGTTTAGAGGTGGAACAATTGGGTTAGAAGGGCCTTAACCTAATCAGCACATGAATCCACTTGAATGGATTAATGGGGTGATAACTGTAAGCCTGTAGGGTATGGCTGGGAGAGGTGAGTCACTGGAGGGTGTGCCTTTCTGGTATATATTTTGTCCCTGATGAGCTGAGCTTAGTCTCTCTCTGCTTGCTGGTGGCCTGGTCCTGAGCTGCTTTCTTCCATCATGCGCCTTCTGCCTTGATGTTCTGCCTCACCAAAGCAATGAAACTGGCCATCTATGGACTGAGGCATCTGAAAT